GTTTCGAGAATGGGTCTTATCCTAACGTTAGGGTGTCTTAACTCCTGTCCTAAGTAGTTAGGATATGTCTTAGCTGGGACACGTTCGAGAATAGGCACCCAGGCGCGTAGCAAGCCAGTTTTATCGTGTAAGCCCGATAGGTTGCAAAGCTTTATATGTAGATAGTGTTGAGGGCTTGCCCAACCTTTTCAGCAACAATCATGTGTAGGCCCGGACGTTTTTATGGTTTAAACATAGTTTTATTTCGCCAAAGCAAAATCCTGGATAGTGGCTTATATAAGCGCCGCCCCAGTACATTGTTCAAATAGCTGGATACATACATGAAATAATTTGACAACAAAAGAATAATACAATAACAGATATATGATTGAGTAACAAATATGTTCGTTATGCCTAGCAACGAAATGGGCTGCCGCAGAAAATCACGTTATATAAAATGTGTCTTACACTGAATATATATATGTTGCGGGGATAATCACTGGAAGCGGTTACTTTTAGAAATGAACTGGTGTAATGAGTTAAGAATGTCACTATTAGTTGAGTTATTCAATGCGCCGTTACCGTATAAAGTAGTTTTAACATCGTATCCTTGAAAATAAAAATATACAGTTGTTCTTAAATGTTGATAGTTCCGACATGTGAAAAGGTAGTGAATAACGTCTTCGTTATAATAACCACATGAACACCTGGGTGTGTCCGATATATGTCGATTATATATGTCTGCGTTTAGATCACTACAGCCGAGCCCGAAAACGCCCTACACTATTTCCTCACTTGCCGTAACTATACTCGGATAACACTTAATATGTATTTTTACACTACCGGTTATAACCTGGATACCATTCTTAAGGAAAACAAAGAACTTACTCCCTGTGTAAACCAGAAAATAGTTGAATCCGTCCACGATTATATAACAAAGACATAAGGCTTTAAATTTTCTCAGGAAAATAATTAAATAATTTTCTCAGGAAAATTTAAAAATTAAACGAGACTTACCTGTAAGTTGAAGTTTGATATAAATTCCACTGACCTATGAAGTACAGAGGGATCACATGTGATGTGCGCATGCGCGTAAGTATCAGTATTTAACTTGAAAATATGATTCTTGGGTACCAAGGGAAGGGATACAATAGGTGGGCATGTGATCCCTCTGTGCTTCATAGGTCAGTGGAATTTATATCAAACTTCAACTTACAGGTAAGTCTCGTTTAATTTATAAATTCCACTTCCCTATTCCGTACCTCGGAATCCCATGAGATATTTAGAGCAAGAAACATATTTTCTCCATTATACAATCAGAAGGATCACAAAAACCACAGTGCAAATCCAATTGTTTAATAAACTGGACAAATGTCCCTAGAGAACTGCTAAGTAATTTCCATAGTAATGAAATGAAAACCATACTGTTATTAAATACATGTACATGTCATTGTCAACATTGTTAGGTTTTAGCAATAATGTCACTCTTATCATGTTTAGCATCACTCATGGTGATTAGCATTAAACTCCAGTAGTGCTTGACCGAAATGTCCATCAGTGGCTATCTGTTTGTTGTAAAACTGTCTGAATACACAGTCACTGCTCCATCCTGCAGTTCTCAAGATTGTGCCCAGGGGCACTCTCACACATGCAGCTGCACTAGTTGCCGCTGACCTTACACTATGGCGACTAAAAATACCCATGTTGATGACAGCACATGTCATCACATGTTTTATCCATCTGCATATGGTGTCTTTGGTCACACGTTTATGTGGCTTATGAACACTAATAAAGAGGGCAGTCTCATTACCCCTTAAACTATTTGTAACATGCAGGTAATTACCTAGTACTCTAACTATACACAACTTGGGATCTGAGAAGCCTGGTAAAGTTATCTCCCTTTGGTGATATGTAGGCCGAGACTGTTTCAGTAAGTCCCCAAATCTTAACTTCACACACTTCTCTGTGATATCAATGTTTCTACAGTCAAGTAGGTGTAGTGATTGCACTCGCTGTCCAGAGAGCAAAAGCAACATCATGGCAAGTTTATGAGTTAGAGATTTTAGTTCATTCTCGGACACATCCTTCAAGTGTTGTAGAACTACAGAAACATCCCATGTCACATTGTACTTGGGTAAAGCAGGTCTAAGGTGGAAGATCCCTTTCATAAAGCGGATAACTAATTCATGATGTCCAAAACTATTGTTGTTTATTTTCACAAGTGTTGACAAGGCTGAACGGGCTGTATTTATAGCGGAGTAGCTCAGGCCTTGTTGATATAGTCTCTCCAAAAGTTAAGACCTTCTGCTAAAGATGGTGAAAGGGGATTAACACATCTCTCACTGCAAAACAACAGCCACTTTTGGATATAAGTCCCATACTGCTTGTGTCTGGAACTTTTCCATGATTGCAGTATGATGTTGATAACTGGCTCCTGAATGCCTTGACTTTCCAATATTTTCCTGATAAGCTGAAAGCTGTTAGCTTCAGCTTCCCGTGCAATTGATGTACTGCTTCGGTGTTGTTTGGTAGTGTCAGAAGGGACTTGGACTTTGGTAGCAACCTGGGACAGTCTGTTGATAATTCCAGTAGCTTGCTGAACCAGCACTGAGTTGGCCACAAAGGAGCTATCATCAGGACATCGGCTTCCTCCAGCTTGACTTTCTGCAGCACTTTCCCAATGACACTGAATGGGCAGAAAATATAGTGATAACTAGATTTCCATGACAAAGTGAAAGCATCCACGGCTTGTGCACCAGGGTCAGGGAACCATGAAATATATCTAGGTAACTGGTTATTCAGTCTTGATGCAAATAAATCTCTACATGGAACTCCAAACACCCTAGTTAGTTTATAGAACACGTTATGATCTAACGTCCACTCTTTGTCATCAGTGACATTTCTTGAGTACCAATCAGCATCACAGTTATATGCCCCCGGCAAATGAGCTGCACTCAACCAGATATTCCTTTGTTTGCACCACAACCACATTGTTCTTGCCATATCATTACAGCTGGGCTTAATACCTCCCATATTGTTCACATAAGCCACAGCCGTGGTATTGTCCATTTCAAGTCATGAGTATCATGAGCCCGACTACATAATGATTGCAATGTAAGGAGACCAGCAAACGTCCGTGGTATGACTCACTTACAATGTCAGTGAACGTCCATTGTATGACTCTCGTACAATGTCAGTGAACGTTCTTCGTATGGCTCTCTTACAATGTCAGTGAACGTCCATGGTGTGTCTCTCTTACAATGTAACAACGTCCATGGTATGGCTCTCTTACAATGTCTGTGAAAGTCCATGGTATGACTTGCTTACAATGTCAGTGAAAGTCCATGATATGACTCTCTTACAATGTCAGTGAACGTGCATGGTATGACTCTCTCACAATGTCAGTGAACGTGCATGGTATGACTCGCTTACAATGCCAGTGAACGTCCGTGGTATGACTCGCTTACAATGTCTGTGAACGTCTATGGTATGGCTCTCTTACAATGTCAGTGAAAGTCCATTGTATGACTTTCTTACAATGTAATAACGTCATTGGTATGACTCCCTTACAATGTCTGTGAACGTGCATGGTATGACTTGCTTAAAATGTCACTGAACGTCCATGGTATGACTCTCTTACAATATCAGTGAAGTCCATGATATGACTCGCTTACAATGTAACAACGTCCATGGTATGACTCCCTTTCAATGTCAGTGAACGTCCATGTCATGACTCACTTACAATGTCAGTGAACGTGCATGGTATGACTCTCTTACAATGTCAGTGAACGTCCATGGTATGACTGACTTACAATGTCAGTGAACGTCCATGGTATGAATGTCTTATAATGTCAGTGAACGGCCATGGTATACGTGTTTTATTAATATTGTTTCATTGATTTTGATTATGCAGATACACCCCCGTCCACCATTGCACACACACTACGAAATTGCCTTTTCTGTTCTGTAACAACACCATTTAGAACAACAAGATGGTGTCAAATTAGTTTGTGCACAGTCCTTGAACCACAATATTTCCCCTTCCACACAGCATCTTTCTGCCATGTAAATGTCATATTCCCCGTATTCCTCAAGTACTTGCTCTGAATGTCCCACCTCACAAAGGTTATTTTTCAATTTAATTGAAGTCATTTCTTTAAATCAATATTGGAGTCTAAGCCTTAGTTGTCAGATGTGCGTGTGATGGAAGTGACATGTGATGACAAATATAATGTTACAGTCTAGCCCCGCTTTCTTCTCGCAAAACTGATGCGTCATTTTGAAGAATTTCTCCCTGTTCGATGAATATAACTACCACGAATTGCTAGGTATAGGTTCGAATCGAACAGATATCTCAACACAAGCTACCAAAACCAAACTCGTTCACTCACTAACTGGTCGCTAGACTGAGTTGAGAAACCTCTACTATATGAGATTACGAAGTGTTCCTCACAGACAGACAGCCAGCTGTGCTGTTCACAACGCTCCAATATGAGAGCCTATGGCTCAGTCGCGTGGACCGTCTCATTAATTGTCACTACCGGGTACAACTCTGTACTGTTGGATCCCTGTCCGATGTCTCTATAAATAATTCCTGAATAAGACAGATTATTAATTCTCCAACTGATGATGAGGCCTCTACATCCTACTACAGTCAGAGATGCTGCATATAGAGATGAAGTTTTTGTAAACGTATCTCACGTGACTCGCCGCAAAAACGCCAACCCAATTTGTCAAGCGATCGCCCATGAATTGGAGTGATGAGATGAATTATTTAAAACCAATTAGCTTATTACTTGCCGCACGTGTGGCTAGCCCCAGTCTGTTAATCGTGCAATTATTGGTTATAACAGTTATCACCAATGTGTTGTGAAATTCAGATGTATTTAATCGGAACTGTCTCCTCTGAGCTCTTCCTGTCTCTTTGTGGCCTAGGGCGCAGCGAGGAGAACCGCGCATGCGTGATAATGAAGCTAGTGAAGGAGGAAATTGCTCCGCTTGCTAACAATAATGAGAAGAAAACGACTCTTTATGTATCCACTGACAATTGCAGGTTGTTTAGAGGCCGCACTTAATCATTGATTAAAACCAGTGATAGTTTGGAGAAATCACAGAAAGCATATCTGGTCTCACGCCTCGTGTGCCCCTACACGCGGCCGTTCCCGCGCTTTCCATACACGCCCCGAGATTTACCGAACTCTGCATGCATCTTCATCAGCACCTGGAGTGTCAGTTCCATGGACAGCTAGAACGTGATCGTAGCTTACTTCAACACATTAGTTAAACCTGGGGACGGCAACTTGGGAAAGTTAAAATCGTTCCGAAACACCTCAGACTAAATTTCGTTGTGATTTTTCCCGCAAGAGTGATGGGCATCCGCGAAGAATTATTGCCAGGCAACCAGCATACAGCGTAGAACAACACAGAAGACACACATACAGGTAAAACGTTCAATACTGAAGACAATATTCCAGGAGGTAAATATGACAACCTCTTCTGAGAAGGAGATAGAACCTAAAGGTACCAACGCTGTGCCCTCTCGATGGACACCTCCTAGTGCCCCACCCTCCCTCCAATCCCGCTGCCATCACCTCTTCCACCAGGGATACGGCTGTCTAACCTTTTCATGGGTTACCTCCCGGAATGGAGGGCGCTACCTTGGAGCCGGCGACAGGGACGCCGCTCACACCACACCTCGACTTCCGTGGGCTCTACCTACCTGAGGGACCGCCGTCATATAGTAAGTGAAAAGAATTATCACAATAATATTGGTATCATAGTCAGTGAATAGGCGTGGTCTTGAGGTTCTATTATTATCCCTTGTGGGGGACAAGGATATCTCAGATATTCATATCTCAGGAATGTGTGAAACTCCGCGGAATGAAGCTGTCGCTGTTCGCCGTTATGTTTCCCCGCCGCCTCACTGACATCAGATTTCAGTTTGATAGATTCTATGATGAAATCAGTTTGATAGATTCTATGATGAAATCAGTTTGATAGATTCTATGATGAAATCAGTTTGATACATTTTATGATGAAATCAGTTGATAGTTCTATGATGAAATCTATGATGAATGAAATCAGTTTAATAAATTCTATGATGAAATCAGTTTGATAGATTCTATGATGAAATCAGTTTACATTTTATGATGAAATCAGTTGATAGATTCTATGATGAAATCAGTTTAATAGAATGATGAAATCAGTTTGATAGATTCTATGATGAAATCAGTTTGATACATTTTATTGAAATCATTGATAGAAATGATGAAATCAGTTTTCATTGAATCTTTACTATGACAGCCACTTAATGAGGCTGGACGACATTGTGATTGATTTGCACGGACGATAATCCGCAGAACAGTTCTGAACACGTCCTGTTATCAGCCGATATAAAATAATACTTCGGCGCGAACGTGCATGCAGCAACATGTTTACCTGACCTCATAGAATCACTTGTAATGAATGACTGGAATAGTAGTAAACGGACAAAAGAGCTGAGCTCAGACCTTAGGATATGTTGCATGTGAAACTCACGACCGAAACAATAATGTACAAATGTCACTTTTGATTGGTTCATTGATTCTGGGGAGTTCTGGAGAAAAATTGAACTTCTCAGTCGAATGTTCCCGCAAAATATGATGGGATAAAACAGAAGGAATGGGGTCGCAATGGACAAAGGAGACGACTTGCCAGCAGTATAGTGATATGGACGGCCGTACTGTTACAGACGTAGAATAACAGTCGCCCTGTACATCTCAAACTGATATGGGCACATACATAAACTAAATCGTTGATTTGTTGACATATCCTGTTTTAGAGATGTTACTGCAAGCCTGCACTGTGGTGTAAGTGGGCATCCCATATTGCATACACATGTTGCATGTGCATCAAGGCCAGACAATCTGTGGTAAAAGATGTCACTAAATACTACATGAAGACGCCGAATGTCAGATAAAAGTTGGTGGATGTTGGTTATGATGCAAAGGCATAACCATTACTCGTCCTGAAGGAAAATAACCACAAAATGAAACTAATTGTAGACAATGAAAATGTCGATTTTGATTAGTTATGAAACTAACACCACAAATGCAACTGAACCAGGTTAGTCCCATGTTGGGTAGCTGGTGTAGTAGCGCACATACATCTTAAACTGGGATAGCTTAATGCAGCTCTTCTTTATAAGACTGCAGGCAAAGGTAGTGGGAAAGAAATGAGAAGCAGAATGCGCTGACCATCAGAAGCCCATAGTCACTCAACATTTTGTCAAATGAGCTATCGGAATACCGGGCCTGGCAGCTGTCCGACTGACTGAGTTTAGTTTACGCCACTTTTAGCAATATTCCAGCAATATCACGGCGGGGGACACCAGAAATGGGCTTAACACATTGTGCCCATGTGGGGAATCGAACCCGGGCCTTCGGCGTGACGAGCCAACGCTTTAACCACTAGGCTACCCCACCGCCCCCCTGGCAGCTGTCAACAGCAGCATCGCTGTATGACGTCTGGAAGCGGGAGAGTCTCAGAATGATGGTGGAAGTCATTTCAACAGACGCCACAGCATAAATCCAGTTTATGGGAAGGTAAGCCCACCTGAATTGAGCCAGAGATTGCCCAAGAAAGGGGTAGACCAAGAGTTATTACCACCCCGTAGATCTCGCCACATACCACGTCATCCACGTCATCAACGTCAAATACTACTGGCACCGAGTCAGCAGGACATAGGTGTGGAGGGTATCCGACCAAACATTCAAGGGGTTAACGACAACGTATCCAGTGGAGTTACGCCGTACTGGCAGGAACTCTGAGATACCGGTGGGTAGTCTAGTTCTGACGAATTGTAAGATAGCGTGTGCTGCCGACATTCACATGAACATTTTGCACCGAACTGCAATCGGCAGGTCGAGAAATTCGGTGGCAAAAGTGTCACGGTGTGTGGAGCAATATCAAACACAAGGAGATCCGACGTCATGGTATGGCGAGCATTATCACACACACGGAGATCCGACGTCGTGGAGTGGGGAGCAATATCAAACACACAGAGATCCGACGTCATGGCGTGAGGAGCAATATCACACACACGGAGATCCGACGACATGGTGTGGGGAGCAATATCACACACGGAGATCCGACGACATGGTATGGGGAGCAATATCACACACACGGAGATCCGACGTCATGGCGTGAGGAGCAATATCACACACACGGACATCCAACGTCATTGTGTGGGTAGCAATATCAAACACACGGAGATCCGACGTCATGGTATGGGGAGCATTATTACACACACACAGATCCGACATCATGGCGTGAGGAGCAATATCACACATACGGAGATCCAACATCTTGGAGTGAGGAGCAATATCACCCACACAGAGATCCGACGTCATGGTCGGAGGAGCAATATCAAACACACAGAGATCCGACGTCATGGTATGGGGAGCAATATCAAACACACGGAGATCCGACGTCATGGTGTGAGGAGCAATATAAAAAACACGGAGATCCGACGTCATGGTGTGGGGAGCAATATCACACAGACAGAGATCTGACGTCATGGTGTGGGGAGAAATTTCACACGCACAGAGATCCGACGTCATGCTGTAGGGAGCAATATCACACACACGGAGATCCGACGTCATGGTATGGGGAGCATTATCACACACACGGAAATCCGACGTCTTTGTGTGGGGAGCAATATAAAAAACACGAAGATCCGACGTCATTGTGTGGGGAGCAATATCACACACACGGAGATCCGACGTCATGGTGTGGGGAGCAATATCACACACACGGAGATCCGACGACATGGCGTGAGGAGCAATATCACACACACGGACATCCAACGTCATTGTGTGGGGACCAATATCAAACACACGGAGATCCGACGTCATGGTATGGGGAGCATTATTACACACACACAGATCCGACATCATGGTATGAGGAGCAATATCACACACACAGAGATCCGACGTCATGGTCGGAGGAGCAATATCAAACACACAGAGATCCGACGTCATGGTGTGGGGAGCAATATAAAAAACACGGAGATCCGACGTCATTGTGTGGGGAGCAATATCACACGCACAGAAATCCGACGTCATGCTGTGAGGAGCAATATCAAACACACGGACATCCAACGTCATTGTGTGGGGAGCAATATCAAACACACGGAGATCCGACGACATGGTGTGGGGAGCAATATCACACACGGAGATCCGACGACATGGTATGGGGAGCAATATCACACACACGGAGATCCGATGCCATGGTGTGAGGAACAATGTCACACACACAGAGATCCGACGTCTGTGTGGTTCAGCGGAATCAACCGACAGAGGGCGTTGTTTCAATATGGCAACACTACACCACACTGAGCTCGTGTTGCTTTGACTTCCGTCATATGTTGTTCAGACGCACCAGTGTCTGAACCAGAGAGAACGGATTTGTGGGATGAACTCCATAGGCGTTAAGTTCAATATTCACCACAGACGCTTAGGCAACTGACCAACGATGTAGGAAGCTCAGAGGAGAAGTAGAACAGCAGACGACCGTCACACCAGGTACTCATCGCCAAGCCCCCTACGTACGTGTCTTTTGACAGAACAATCAGAATTGCCATTATTTGTACAGAAGATGTGACTATCACGTGCATCAATTTAATATTCACATAATTTTGAACACAGTGAAATGTCTCAAAAGTAGGTTGTGCATGTCTCTTTGTTCAATCACCACGGAACGTACAAGATAGCATATGATTGTGTTGATGCAAGAAAATGCCCTTTGTGTAGAAAAGGCAAGGTAAGTAAAAAGATATAGTTAGTTTTCAAGTTACTTCCGATTATGGTTAGTCCATTACCGTTATGATTCTTGTAATATATAACATTTCGGTCTTCACATGAGATACAACCAGGTGCGTTCATTGTAGGGGTTTCATGGTAAAGAAGCGAATGGAGAATGTTACTGGCCACCGACCCTTCTTGTGAATTATGGCAGATTTATTTGCTGGTTTGTTAAATCCATATTTCATTGATATAATCAATCTCGTTTGTGTCAATGACTATAAGTGAGTGAGTGAGTTTGGTTTTACGCCGCTTATAACAATATTCAAGCAATATCACGGCGGGGGACACCAGATATGGGCTTCACATGTTTTACCCATGTGGGGAATTGAACCCGGGTATTTGGTGAGACGAGTGGACGCTTTAACCACTAGGCTACCCCACCGTCCCTGAATGAATATGACTTGTAATTGATTCATTTTCAGTTCCACGTCGCAAGAGACGGGAGCAGCGCCCGCGACGCCAGAGGACAACGTTCAGCAGCGAGCAGACTCTACGCCTGGAGGTCGAGTACAGACGTGCTGAGTATGTGACGCGCACGCGCAGGTTGGAGTTGGCGGAGTTGCTGACCCTGACGGAGACACAGATCAAGATTTGGTTCCAAAACAGACGTGCCAAAGACAAGAGAATAGAGAAGGCGCATCTAGATCAGCAAATACGGTAAACAGAGGGCAATATACTTTGGTGGCTTCCGCCCGTATCCCCCCGAAATGTTAACGATGAGGAAATATGTCTTTGCGTGGCATTTTCAGAACTAGAATATGTCTTTCAGTATGTTCAGATACAATTCAAGAAACATGTTAAAACTCATCCTTATCAGATGAGGAATATATATATTCAGGTGATATGATTTGACTAGAATGAAATTTAAGGGGGTATACGGGCGGAAGTCTTTCTGCTTTGTGAATATTTGAATGTCACTGAGACCCTCCCTGCCTGAATCAAAACGCATTAACGAAACACAGAATTTGTTCAGAACTTTATTTCTAATATCAAGATTTTGAATTAACATACTTAGAACGAATGATTTAGATTTCAGCCGAATCACGTGGATTGTAAGAACTGTGTTTAAGAAAAGAGCAACGTGAAAAGAAGCTTCACAATCAGTTGACTGTTTCAGAGCTATGAGTTATGGAGTCGGATTGCCGTATCCAGGACAGTTGCCCCTGACATCTTCTCCCGTGACATCATTTCCGGCCTGGGATCCATGGTCTCGGAGACCTGCTCCGGAGGTGTCTTCCAGTGTTTCGTGAGGACGGCTCATGCACTGTGCCACAACCAAAGACTTGCCGGAACTCATGGCACACTTGAAATACGCTTCACCATCCTGGACACAACTGCTACTTGACTTGACGCTGCCAGAATGACATTCATGCACCATTCTTGAGAGTGCTTCTTGTGCAAGTGCATCTGGACGTGTCATCTCCCCTCAGAATATATACTTGCATTGTTGCACCAGGACTTGCGCCTTATGCAAATGTGTACGGTCGATTGTATCGCATTCTCTTCCACGTTGTGTTCCTGTGTTTGAATAGATTACAATAGTGCTATCACTTGTGATCATGGGCAAAGTGTAATCAAATATGCTTACAATAAATACTCTCATCCTTATCTGCTCAAACAAGCATAATCCATGTTCCCCTCACGCAGTCTTCTAGGGGACAGTATTTGGAGGGGCAGAGTTGCGACGTTGGCTAGGATCCCAGACTAGCACCTAATATGATCCATGTTCCGTCAGCCCCGCACCTGAGGTGGAAGTACGATTAGCACATGCAACGCAACATACTGCTTTAAGGTCGCCCAGCATTATACTGACACGTCGCCAAACATTATACTGACACGTCAACCAACATTATACTGACACATAAACCAATATGATACTGACATGTCAACCAGCATTATACTGACACGTCGCCCAACAGTATACTGACACGTTAACCAACATTATACTGACACGTCAACCAACATTATACTGACACGTCAACCAACACAATGCTGAAACATCAACCAACATAACGCTGAAACGTCAACCAACATTATACTGACACGTTAACCAACATTATACTGACTCATCAAGCAACATTATACTGACAAGGCAACCAACAATATACTGACACGTCAACCTACATTATGCTGACACGTCAACCAATATTATACTGACGCGTCAACCAATATGATACTGACACGTTAACCGACATTATACTGACACGTCAATCAACATTATGCTGACACGTGAACTAACACTTTACTGACACGTCAACCAACATTAAACTGACACGTCAACCAACATTATACTGACACGTCAACTAACATTATACTGACACGTCAACCGGCATTCTACTGACATATCAATCAACATTATACTGACACGTCAACCAACATCATACTGACAAGTCAATCAACAATAAATTACAAACTTAATAGACATTTTACTGACAAGTCAAGCAACATTATACTGACAGGTCAAAAAACATTACATTGACACATCAACCAACATGATACTGACACGTTACCCGACATTATACTGACACGTCAACCAACATTATACTGACACGTCAATCAACATTTTACTGACATGTCAATCAACATTATACTGACACATCAATTAACATTATACTCACACGTCAGCCAAGATTATACTGAAACGTCGAACAGCAGTATACTCACACGTCAATCAACATTATATTAACTCGTCAATCAACATTATGCTGACACGTCAAACAACATTATACTAACACGTCAGCCAACATTATACTGACACATTTACCGACATTATACTGACAACTTAACAGACATTTTACTGACAAGTCCAACAAAATTATACTGACAGGTCAAAAAACATTATTCTGACACATCAACCAATATGATACTGACACGTTAACCGACATTATACTGACACGTCAATCAACATTATACTGACACGTCAATCATCATATACTGACACGTCAATCATCATTATACTGACACGTTAACTGACATTATACTGACACGTCAACCAACATTATACTGACACGTCAATCATCATTATACTGACACGTCAATCATTATTATACTGACACGTTAACTGACATTATACTGACACTTCAAACAACAATATACTGACACGTCAATTAGCATTATACTGACACGTAAACCAGCATTATACAGACACGTCAATTAGCATTATACTAACACGTTAACCAGCACTATACTGACACGTTAACCAACATTATGCTAACACGTCAATTAGCATTATTCTGACACTTTAACCAGCATTATACTAACAAGTCAGCCAACATTATACTAATACGTCAACCAACATTATACTGACACATCAATCAACATTATACTGACACGTCACCCAACACTATACTGACACGTTAACCAACATTATATTAACACGTCAATTAGCATTATTCTGACACGTTAACCAGCATTATACTAACACGTCAACCAACATTATACTAACACGTCAGCCAACATTATACTGACCCGTTAACCGACATTATACTGACAACTTAACAGACATTTTACTGCCAAGTCAAACAACATTATACAGACACGTCAAACAACATTATACTGACAGGTCAAAACATTATACTGCCACGTTACCCGACATTATACTGACACGTCAACCAACATTATACTGACATTATTCTGACACATCAATTAACATTATACTCACACGTCAATATGATACTGACACTGTTAACCGACATTATACTGACACGTCAATCAACATTATCATACAGACACGTCAACCAACATATACTGACTCAATTAGCATTATACTGACACGTAAACCAGCATTATACAGACACGTCAATTAGCATTATAATTAACACGAACCAGCACTATACTGACAACTAAACTAACAAGTCAGCCAACATTATACTAATACGTCACCAACATTATAATTGACACATTAACTGACAACTTATACTAACACGTCAATCCAACATTATACTAACACGTCAACATTATACTGACACGTCAACTAACACAGGTATATTCTGACACATCGACCAATTGACACGTTAACCAAACCAACATAATACTGACAACTAAACAGAAACAAGTCACTCAACATTATACTGACACGTTATTATACTGACACGCCAACAAACATTATACTGACACGTCAACCACCATTAGACTGACAGATCAACCAACATGATACTGTCACGTCAACCAACATTATACTGACACATCAACTAACAATATATTAACAACTTAACAGACATTTTAATGAAAAGTCAAACAACATTATACTGACAGGTCAACTAGCATTACACTCACACGTCAACAAACTCTATTATGACACGTCAACCAACATTATACTGACACATCAAGCAACATGATACTGACACGTTATCAGACATTATACTGACACGTCAACCAACATTATACTGACATGTCAACCAACATTATACTGACACGTCAACCAACATTATACTGACACTTCAACCAACATGGTACCGACATGTAAACCAACATTCTACTGACATGTCAACCAATATTATACTGACAAGTCAACCAACAATATACTGACACGTCAATCAACATTATACTGACACGTTAACCAGCATTATATTAACACGTCAGCCAGCAGTTTACTAACACGTAAGCCAACATTATACTGACACTTCAATAAACATTCTCCTGTCACGTTAACCGACATCATATTGACACGTCAACCAGCATTATACTGACATGTCAACCAACATGATACTGACACGTCAACCAACATTATACTGACACTTTAAACAACATTAGTATTATACTGACACGTCAACCGACATTATACTGACAACTGAACAGACATTTTACTGACACGTCAAACAACATTATGCTGACAGGTCAAAAAACATTATACTGACACGTCAACCAGCATTATACTAACACTTTAACCAACGTTATACTAACACGTCAACCAACATTATGCTGACACGTCAACCAACATTATATTAACAATTTAACCAGCATTATACTGACAACTTAACAGACATTTTACTGACACGTCAACCAACATGATAGTGACACGTCAATCAACATTATACTGACAGGTCAAAAAACATTATACTGACACGTCATCCAGCATTATACTGACACGTCAATCAACATTATACTCACACGTCAACCAACATTATACTGACAAGTCAATCAACATTCTACTGACACGTTATCCCACATTATAATGACACGTTAATCAACGTTATACTGAAAAGTCAATCAACATTAAACTAACACGTCAGCAAACACTATACTGACACGTCAACCAAGATTATACTGACACGTCAACAAACATTATACTGACACTTTAACCAACATTATACAGACACGTCAACCAACATAATACTGACAACTTAACAGACGTTTTACTGACAAGTCAAACAACATTATACTGACATGTCAAACAGCATTATACTGACGCGTCAATCAACATTATACTAACACGTCAACAAACAATATACTGACACATCAAGGAACATGATACGAACACGTTAACAGACATAATACTGACACGTCAACAAACATTATACTGACAAGTTAACCGACATTATACTAACATGTCAACCAGCATTATACTGACACGTCAAGCAACATTATACTGACATGTTAACCAACATAATACTGACACGTCAACAACATTAAGCTAACACTTTAACCAACATTATCCTGACACGTCAACCAACATTTTACTGACACGTCAACCAACATTATACTGACATGTTAACCAACATTATACTGATACTTTAACGAACATTATACTGACACGTCAACCAACAATATACTGACACGTCAATCAACATTATACTAACACTTTAACAAACCTTATACTGACACGTCAACCAGCATTATACTGACATGTCAACTAACATTATACTTACACGTCAACCAACATTATATTAAAACTTTAACCAACATTTTACAAACACGTCAGCCAACATTCTACTGATACGTCAATCAACATTCTACTGACACGTTAATCGAAATTATACCGACACGTCAACCAGCATTATACTGACATGTCAACCAACATGATACTGACACGTCAACCAGCATTATACTGCCGCGTCAATCACTATTATACTAACACGTCAACAAACACTATACTGACACGTCAAACAACAATAGACTGACACATCAAGCAACATGATAGTGACACGTTATCAGACATGATGCTGACACGTCAACTAACATTATACTGACAAGTTAACCGGCAATATACTGACACGTCAACCAGCATTATGCTGACATGTCAACCAACATTGTACTGACACGCCAACCAACATTATACTAACACTTTAACCAACATTATACTGACACGCCAACCAACATTATACTGACATGTTAACCAACATTATACTGACACGTCAACCAACATTATACTGACACGTCAATCAACATTAAACTGACACGTTAACCGACATTATACTGACACGTCAACGAGCATTATCCTAACAGGTCAAAAAACATTATACTGACACGTCAACAAACACTATACTGACACGTCAACCAAGATTATTCTGACACGTCAACCATCTTTATACTGACACCTCAACCAACTTTATACTGACACGTTAACCGACATTATACTGACACGTTAACC